TTTTTATAGTGGCAATTCAACAAATGCAGTTCAATAGTTTGCCTGATTAGCCAGAAAAATAGTTGTTTCTGTTGAATACAAAAACAGCATTAATTCCATTTGTGATTGTATATTCAAGAATATACAATATGTATAACTTGGGGTTTTTCAATAATTATTCAAATTTTTTTCTCAACTAACAATAAACAATGAATCTTGATGTCGCAAAAAAATTTCATGACCCTTAAAAAAGTAATCATCTCCATATCTATAGCAGGAAATCTTGGCTAAAAATACTTCATGAATAATAACGAACCCAATTTTAATTAGCATTGTAATGATATGTAGGAGTGGACATTTGAACACGTATTTTTCATTTCAATTTACATAAAACGATATGTATCATTATGCCCCATTGCTTCCATGGCGTGATGTAATGAAAAGATTGCGACATAACTTGTTTTATTGACTGACCAACATCCAAGTCTATCATAAACTTTTATCGCAGACCGTTCTCAATGTTATACGAACACACCCCGATTATATCGATATCATCAATTAAAAATTTAATTGGGTTTTTAATCAACGTCCGAGCAGCTACTTTCTATTTGGATCACCGTCGTTTGCCCTAAGAAATACACTCCCGATCATTTTGGGTGTACGTTTATGATAGCTTAGACCACAAATAATACGTGGTTTCAATTTAAATATGTGCATATCACTGAAATATACTAGTTACATAACATAAATGCATCATTGAAAAGGAATATTCTCAGATATATTTATGAACACTAAAAAATGGATATATATACCGGGTGACACAGGAGACATGTAGCAGCCTGTAGTTTTTTTATTTCAAGAGATAAAATTTTGAAATTCACAGGGGGTATATAATGAATGGTAGCGCACTTTACGAACTTAACGACAATTTTTTTTCAACCACCTGTTTGACCGGAAGTGACCCCAACTTTTTTTTTTAATTATCACCCTGTACATTTCCCTTTTTCGCCTTGAAATTCTCTATCCAACCATGTATCACAAAGTGGCATTTATTTCTCAATTCGCTGTTGAATTTCTTTTTATTCAAAAATAATAAGTTGGCTGTGACATGAATTCGATAATATATCGACACTTGGTAGGCTTTGAAATTTAAATATCATTAGTATACCGATATTATTCAAAATGTTTTGATATTCTGATCAATGTCTGCAGGTTGTCAATAGCTTGTTTGAGTCAAGATGAAAAGCTCCGAAAATAACTCATGATATTGAGGAAGATAGGAACATATTTTTTCGAATTCAGCTACTCCTACAGAAACTATCTGTCTTTTATTTCCGCCATGTATGTACCTATCACATGATCTTTCCATTTGGAATAATGAAACTAAATTTGTTCCTCTTATACGATGATCCACAGGGCTATCAGTCTATTTTTTCATAATTATTTCACTTAGTAGGCGGTGTACCTACACAAAATGTTTTATGTGTTTGACAGTTAATCGATTGCATCAATAATTTTTCTTCTTCATTTGTGTGTTGATTAAAATTGCATATTATCAATAGAGACGGAAAATGTATTAAAGAAACGAAAAAGTCGATATGTTGTTGCAAAAAACATCATAACGTCCGACGATCGTAACACTAGACATATCCATATTCGGGCGGTTGATCATTCAGTCATTTCCTTTCAACTGGCAACACTGTATGTGTTGACATGTTGACGTCACTATCAACTCAGCGTGAAAGCCCTTTAACTGGAAGTTAAAAGGAACCGCACGGCGCAGATTGACTCCTAAGTCGAAAGATGTAGCGCAAAAAGATTTGCATTTAGCATTCAGATTTGAAGAGATACTTTTATTGCAATTGCAACATTTTCATGATTTAATTGAAGAAAATTGTATCGGAACATTCTCTATGTCGTACGTCCTTCAACTGGTTTTGTGTCTGCTATTCGAGGCAAAGTGGTCGTGAAAAGAAGCCCGGGCGGCCAAATAAATTATGAAATCTCAACGGGGGCACCAATTATCCGATTATTGCGTATCCATGGTAGTGATTTATCACCATCGACTTTACCATGGGCGACATGGGGCAGATGTGCCATGGATTATAATTATCGAAACTCGACTCGGAACTCGTTATCAATGGTTTGGCTTGATCCACGGTTCGCTGCTACTTAGTACGGTGGTATTACAGGCTTCACACAGAGAAAAAAAAGTTTAGTCAAGCATGCTACACAGATTTTTGAGAATGTATATTTTCATGCGCTTAAATATCGTCTTGTTAGTCAAAAACTAGAAGGGCTTTACCGAGACCAAAAGTCCGTAGCCGTAGCCGCGTAGTTGAAAGCTTTCAAAACGTTAGTATGGCAATGTGAAATACATACTATTTCATTTTTATCGTGTCCTTACTGAACTGGTGCTAAAATATGGTCGACATACTAATTTACAATTATTGTTCATAATAGGCGAGTGGACTGATAATGAATATATAATTGGTAATTACTCCACTGTGTCTGTCGTTAGGAACGTAAATTAATTTTTGCAACACTTCCCACGATTTTTTCATGTAAATAATCCCAGACAGCACAGAATATTCTGTAAATATTCTGAGAACGTTCAAATATACTTATTTGAGAATATTCTTTTACAATGTTCTCAGAATGATCATGGGATATTCTCATTCTGCAAACAATTATTCTATGAACATTCTATTCGACGTATTCTCAGAATGTTCTTTTTGAATATTCTGAGAATATTCTTTCAAAATATTCTGAGGATACTGAGAATCGTATCGAAATATATGATAATTATGTTCCTATTCTGTCATCAATAATTATAATGTTGCATGTGTTCGAGAGAATATGGAGAGAGGCTATGACAGCCAGCAAATCACTGTATGCACTGACACCCAGGCGGCGATCAAGGCGCTCACCTCGTATAGGGTGACCTCCGCCTTGGTGTCAGAGTGCATAGATAGCCTACAAAGGCTGTCAGCAACGAACAAAGTATGTCTTTTGTGGGTCCCTGGACACTCAGGGGTACCAGGTAACGAAATGGCCGATGGTCTGGCCAGAAAGGGGGCGAAGGGTTCAGTGATTGGCCCAGAGCCAATCTTCGGGGTCACTCGATCCTGGAGCATTTTCAAGATGAAGGAAATCCCGACGGAAAGGTTTCAGGACAGCTGGAGACAGGCTCCTGGGATGAGGAAGTCCAAACTCCATATAGGAAACCCGTCACGAAGACAGACCAATGCCCTCTTGGCTTCGAACAGGAAGGAGCTGAAACTGGTGGTGGGCCTTCTGACAGGGCACTGCCACCTGAACAAACATCTCAGCATGATCGGGATTGTGGAGGATCCTGAATGCAGATGGTGCCTAGAGGATGAAGAGACTTCTACTCACATCCTCACTGAATGCCCGGCAGTAGTGGCAGCAAGGGATATATCCATTTTGGGAGCAGTATCCTGGACCCAGAGGATGTTTAAAAGATTTGGCCTAGAAAGTTGGTCTCTTTTGCTCGCGAGATCGGCCTTCTCCATGGCTGACTTGCGATCCCAGGAATGTGGGTGAACAATGGGCCCGAAAAGGGAGGCCTATGTGCGTCAGGTCCCGGACCGCCCACACACATACATACATACATACATACATAATTATAATGTTTACCCTGACACAACCAATTATTATTTCCTAACCTCAATGCTGATTATACTACTAATACAGTATTGTCTTCTTGCTATTCATTTTATTCATCAATAAGGTTCGTGGCGAAGTGGTATAAGGTTTCAGGTTCGTAAAAATTTAATCACAAGATAGTAGGTTCGCATCTTCACCGGAGCAAGCTTTTTTTTTGTATTCTTCCTTCTCGTTCAATATACTAGGTATATTCTCAGAATATTTGAAATTGTCCATTCCAAATGTTCATAGAACTTCCCTAGAATATTTGTATCACATTGTGAGAATATTCTGAGATTATTCGAATATTCTCTAAGAACATCCTATGGACGTTCTATGAATGACATCCTGCTATCTGGGATGAGTCTATGCGTTGTTCGAAATTGTTGAATTTCAGAGCACATGTCAAACGAACCTTCATGGCCGCCATTTAGCGATACGTCGAATAAATGGTGACGTCATTTTTAAAGCTGTTTCGTTATTGGTCAGATAATCTTGCATTTCCACTCATGAAGCAAGTTTGTCAAGTCACGAACCATAATCAAGTTATCAAACTTTATGAATATTGATACAGAAATAGGAACATCAATATCATTTATTTCTATACGATTCTGAATATTTCCAGAACATTCCAGATATTATATTCTGAGAATATGTCAAATTGAATGTCCATAGAATATTCGCTGCAGGATGAGAATATTTTACGATCATTCTGAGAACATTCTATAAGAATATTAAATGAGTATATTTGAACGTTGTCAGAATATTCATAGAATATTTTGTGCTGTCTGGGTGGAGAGGTATTCACGATGAAAACTCAAATATACCGGTCGTGCATGAAATTTTGTAGGTATGTATTTCGGACGTTACTTGCTTTTATGAACATTGGCAAACAATAGCGAGGGTTCTTACTACACGCTAGGGTCCATAAAAGCCTATTTCACGGCCTTGATACATAAATAACTTCTATGAGCCAATGGCAAGGTAATTTGATGCCATTCACAGCAGATTTTTCAGTTTTCAATTAGATATCTTGACACAAATAAGTGAGATATTGCCTGTATATGATAACCAGGGACACCCTGTATATATCGCTGGATTTATTCCAGAATTCGGACTATACCTCATCCAAATATCTTTCAATAATTCGAGTCTCACAAAATTAAGAAAATCTTTTTCCAAAATCGAGAACAATGTTTATTAATATTTTCTTCATATATTCTCAAAATATCAAATAATAGTATACTGCAGGTGAATTTTTGTTTTGTCTTGTATATCATGATATCGATCTATTCTTTGGTCTATTGCCGATTTTGTATGGGATGGGAGTTGAAGAAAACTATGTGTTGAATCCGATTGAATCAGTATAAAATGTATTATATATATTCTTCAAACATTCAAATAGAGGAAGTTCAATTTCTTCAATTCAAAACTGAAAATTTGAATGTTGTTTTATGATGATACTGCTGTCCAGGGTACAATATGGTGTTGGGAAAATGTTCCTGGAACGAATAAGTCATAGAGTAAATAATATACATTATACAGTGTGTGCGATTTCAACTCGCAACACCCTCCTAATTTGTATTCAATTACAAATCTTTTTTTTTTGATTCACCCTTATCAAAATCTATACAGGGTGTATCTAAATCACACCGGAAAAATTCAAGGGGTGATTCCTTGTGATAGGGAATAAAGTCCATATAAACATGTGTCCTAACTTGCTTCGTTTTCGATTACAGGGTATTAATATTTCCATGAAAATAATTTTCTATTCATTTCTCAATTGCATTTTAATTAATTTCGATAAAACGTTGTGGTTTTGGTAATAGTGATATGGCGCTTCTTATAGGTACTTTAATAAGATTCGAAAAAATATTTTCGGTGGCGTCACAGTGGGTAAATTTATCGATATTCATGGTGAATGTCATTGTACACCACCCGTTTTTCTCAGTTTAATATTTTAATCACATTGAACTATTTAAATAGCAACTTTTTTATTCCTTCACTAGCAATACCAGTCAGACGAACTAGACAAGCCCAGTCAGCACATCCATTCGTTGTCTACCTCGAAAGATTTCGAATAGCACTTTATCAAAACTCCTTCCTCCATAGAACGGCTAGGCTCTAGAATTCATTGCCTGAGGAAGTATTCCCAACAACATATAATCTCCAGAAGTTCAAAAAAAATTCCAATACCTACCTCATTCAATGGAGGAACACATCGAATACTTGGATAGTTTTATCGTTGTAACTTCTACAACCAAAAATCAATAAAATAATGGTTGAGGTTTACCCCCATTTTGAGAAATCAAGTAAACCGTTTTTCACATCACAGTTCATCAATGTCATCACACAGTAACTTTGAAAATTGTCTCGATTGATAAAGAACTGTCGAATATCAGACAAATAGAGTGACAGAAAAACACTCTCCAAAGACTGCAAGACGATTTACTGATACTTGATCATAATAAACCGATTTTGGCGAAATGGAAGGAAAATGTGAGATGACAATGGAAATTGTCATATATAAAGAATATATCCTCGAATTAGTTACCATCATTTATATTTCCAGAAAAAAATATATGGATCATAATACAAAATTTGTCAACTTCAATTTCATTAATGTTTGGTTTACCAAGAGAGATCTTCTTGAAGAAGTCACTACGATAAACCTCGTATCTAAGTATTCAATTTGTTTCCCCATTGAATGACTACATCACCGGTTATATCAACTCCTCAGATTTTGATACAGGAAGAATAAAAAAATCAAAAATATCAAAATTTGCCATTGAGTAACTAACACCCTATATGAGATAGTGCGTTCAAATTTCGTATGGAGGTATTTCGGCTATGCCTGAATCGATGGGCTAGTCACAGTTTCGATAGAAAAATGTACACTGAAAAAAAAAAGAGGGTAGTAATTACCAAACGTTTAGTAAAATAGGCGCCAGTCACAACTTTCATCAAATGATACCACTACAACATTATATAATACCACTACAAAATAGTATAATACTCATAGTTTGGTATTATATAGTGTGTAGTGGTATTATTTGATGAAAGTTGTGACTGGCGCCTATTTTACTAAACGTTTGGTAATAACTACCATCTTTTTTTTCAGTGTATAATAGTCGTTTTTGAAATTTTGATTCTTTCAACAAATGATAGTAGCCTTGAAAATCCGAATATTTTGAATTTATATTATAGATTTTTTTTAATCGGTTGATGGGTTCAAAATTAGAAGGGTGTTGCGGGTTGACATCGCATACACTATAATATATCCTTCTCATTATGTTATCTCTATTTATAAATCATCTCCAATCTGGTTTCAAATATTTATTTTTCTAACTAGAAATATATCTTGAATATTCTTTATCACCTACAAATATGTAATGTGAAACATTACGACACTAATTCCAGTTTCTTAATGGGATGTTTCACATGCTGTGAAGTGAAAAAATAATCTCAATTTTCAGTTTTTCACTTGAAAAAAAGATAAAAGAACTAATTGATTATGAATATAGCAGGTACTATAAAGTTTGAATTGATTTATTTGCAGCAATTTCTATATCAGAATTTATTATTTCTTGATCGGAATTCTTGTCGATACAATTTTTTCTCAAAATTGAAATGAACTCGCCAAAGTTGACGGTTTGAAGGTGAAAACCGAGAACACTAGATTCATGACAAGTATGTATACGCCAAACGTTCATTCAATTGTCATAAGCAGTCATAAGTCCTAAGTCATAAGAAAAGTTGGCCAACATTCATCTCTGACGACTTACGACTTGAATTTTATGACTAATTTGCTCTGCGCATGAGCCGTGCGCGGCCGTGCGCTACCATTTGTGATTTTGGTTTGTTTACATTTGTTTCAATTGAATTAAAACCGAAACAGATATTTGTAACTGCTGAATAATAGAAAAAAACAATTCTGTGTTACCTTACCTCAAACATAAAAAAACTGATAAACAATGAGCAAAATGAGCTAAAGAATAGGGGTGCTTTTCTTATGATATGACAGTCCTTATTATTGCTGCATGAATCACCATTCTCACCTTTCGACTTGAAACTTGTGACTCAACACCTACGACTTGAAACTTAAGACTTAAAACTGCTGCATAAATCCACCATTACATATTCCTAATGAATCGTTAATTCAAGGAATGTTGAGTATTTTTGATCAAATCAGCGATTTTGGTACTATAGGTATGAACGATCGTACTTTATTAGTATCGTGAATTCATATTACGATAATCGATGCGTTGTATCCTAAATATCTATTATCCTATTCATTATCATTCCTCTATTACTTATTCAACGTGGTGTGAAGGCTCTTCAAAATTAATAATATTCCAAATGATATGATATGATAAAAATAAATGACAGGTGCAGCTATAGTACTTATACACTTACGTGATTGACAGCATCTGGATATTTCTGCGTTTCCAAACAGAACCCACCATGTTTCTTAATGAACCCGTCTTTTCCTCGCAAAGTGTCTTTTTCGGGCAGGTAATTACCAGTGTAAAACTGCACCCCAGGTTGGTTACTATACACCTCCATCACCCTGCCAGTATCAGGATGTGATACTCTAGCTACGAAAGCATCTTCTTGGTCAGAACCTCTTGTGATGCAAAAGTTATGATCGAAACCTGGAGAGCTTGGTACTTTATGAATGACATCTCCCAAAATTTTCGGGACGCGGAGATCAAAAGCAGTACCACCAACATCCGGAAGGTTACCTACAATTTTTCAAGTATTTACATGATATGAGATTATAATGGCCGACGGAATTATGACTTTTTTATGTCAATCAGAGAAGAAATCATTTTAAGTGAAAGAGTAAAAATCAATGATTTCTTCATCATTTCACTATTTCTATCGGCATAAATTCACTCTTGAACCCATTGAAGCGACTCTTCGAGCATACACAGTGATAAAAAATAGCACCAGTTCACACCAGCTTACACCCTTGGGTGTCCCCTGAGGTCCTGACCATCACAGGGTGTCACTCGTTCTGACATTCAGTCAAGAACTACACTAGAGTATACCTAGTGGTAATTTGATCGGTTCGTGTTATTCAACACCAAAGTGGTGTACTATACAATCAACTGGTGATTATTTTGAAACGGTATCTGTTGCGTTTTTGCTTTTACTGATAATATTATGATATGCGAATATTTTTTGGATATTTTTCTGATGTAAAAACACACTCATTGAGTGTTATCACGCTGAGAAGCGGTGCTGTCTGGTCTGCATCTTGGGTGTTAAATAACACAACTCTGATAAACTAACATTATAGTATTCAGTGTATTAAATGATCCACTGTAGTGAGACATTACGAAACATCTCTGAGCTGATACCATTTGAAGGCTGTCGGGAGACGAGCGTTGAGGGAGCGCTAGTGTCGCCATCTATCAAGATTTTTACTCAATATTTTCCTGTGCACGAAATGTACAATATATTCAATTTTATGTTTCAATCTGGTTCGATATAAGTACTCTATATAGCTTCGCAATCTCGAAATCATCATATATAATTGATGAATCAACTTGAAATTAATTTATTGCATTATTTTTACGAAATCATATCCGTTCTTTTTGTCACCAATCAATCTGGTTATCAGAATTCGTGGAAGATGATACCTACACTATTTTTATCCATTCTTCAATGAGTTTAGGTTTTTCAGGGGGTAATTTCAACATCAGCAATATTATTTTTTCACATGGGAGAATGCAAGACGGTGAGTAAATTATATTAGCCCCAAATCTCATGATTCATACACGGTTTTGATTAATTCGTGATTGGTCAGGATGTAAACTAGGTGTTAATTCCCTATAATAAGTGTATTTTTTGCGTTAACTTGAATAGTGGCACTATCGAAAGTATTTACTTTTTATCCTTTTGGTTTTTCTTTTGAATGGCTATTTCAGAACCCTTCTAAATTACCACATCCGCGTGGAATTTTTCCCTAGGAAGGTGTGAATTGACAACACTGTACACGGTATTATCAAATTTCTAATAATATTGACATATTTTTGCTAATCAAGTGTTGATTCAATCAGAGTTATTTCTGAAATTCACTCGATTGAAAGTACACCCGGAAATTTTTCACTGTGTATTAAATGCTTCGAAGCAAATTTATATATGTATATTACCTGTTGGTATGCTTTGATTATTGACCTCAGTTATCTTATCAGCATTCAAACATACTGTATGTTTGTATAATTCTGCAGCACCTTTGCCGTTCCCAGCAAGATTGAAGTATGAATGATTAGTCAGGTTGACAGGACAGGGCTTAGTCGAAGTAGCCTTGTAGTTGATCACAAATTCGTTGTTCTCGGTCAGTTGAAAGCTGACATTGCTCAGAACATTCCCTGGATAACCCTCTTCCATATCTGCAGAATCATAGCTCAGGGTGAGAGTTGTGTCTTTGACGTGAGCTTCCCAAATGACTTTGTCAAAACCTTGGATGCCACCATGGAGATGGTTTGGTCCATTATTGGCCGCTAGATTGTAGTCTACTCCTTCTACCGTCATCTTAGCATTCGCTATTCTATTGGCTACCCTTCCAACTGTTGCACCAAAATATCTATTCTCAGGTTGCAAGTATCCTTCCATGTTGTTAAACCCTATGGTAATATCTTCTATGTTGCCTTTTCTATCGGGGATTTTTATGGCTGTTATATAGCCCCCGTACGTTATCACTTGTGCACTAACATTATTGCTATTTGTCCAGGTGAATCTTCTGATGTCTTTAAGGTGACCTTTGGTATCCTTCACTTGTCCGAAGATGTCTTCTGTTAGTCTCACTGTCGTCATGGTTTGTATTATTGGTGCTACTGTCACTTGGCAACAAGTGAATTGGAATATTATTCGGTTTTATCTGAACGATTGTTTATTTTGTAATAGAGATAACGTAACCAAACAATTGCACGCCTACTTGAAATCTATTGACCTTGCCCAAAGAATTTGAACAGGGTGTATATTTCGATAATAACGTTTCTCCTGCACAAAAATGAAATTGGAATATTTTTTGGAAAATGAACTCGCATCAATGCGTTAAAACTACATTTTTATACCATGAAAGAATTGTGATTGAAGGTTGAATAATTTTCAGAAGAGATAAATAATTGTGATATCTAAAGCGCAGCATTTTAATTGTTACTTCTACTCACCAATACGGTATTACCGTATTAACGATCCTCGCAAGAATAATGCAACATATAGGCTGACTGACATTGAATACTATAGTAACGTGTATTTGAACTTGATGGATATCATTCGAATTGACTCGAGCGGATGTTTAAAATGTATTGAATTTAGGACGTAAAACTTTAGTAATTTAAAAAATCCGGTCGGTGAACAGCTACAGTTTGTTTGCTTCAAATCTCAAATCTTCGACAGTCGAGTGGATATTGATTAATTGTCTTCATTACCCCAAGAAACATTATTGTTTATAATAGGGATATATACAACAAAACATACATTTAACAAAATAAATCGAAACAATAATAATTGCACAATCATTGATTTCCATAAAAAAAAATAATAAAATATAAAATGAAAATATTATAATTCATTTCAAGTAATCAAATTGTGAATGATTAGTAGATATGGAATTGAAGTTTACTGAGCAGATATTCCTTTGAATTGATTTTAAATTTTTCTGCTTCTTCTATATTTTTCAACTCATTAGGTAAAGAGTTATATAAAATTATTCCATTATGAAATATTGATTGTTTGCCAAAATTTGACTTATAATTATTTGCTACCAATAAATTGAATTGCCTTGTTTCATGGACGTGAATCGTATTAACTTCATAAAAATTCAAATTTGATATTTTCAATCCCTTCCTGACAAAATGAATAAGATTACAAATTTTGAGTTTATGTAATGAAACTAGATTCAGCAAGTCTTTATAGGTTTGGTGAATTGAAAATGCACTTTATTGTTTTATTTTGTAATTTCATGGTATCATTCAATGAAGTAGACAAATGAAATATGAATTTGTACACAAATCAGCTTTTTTTTATTTTTACGAAAGTGACTTCAAGTCATATAATGATGAACGCATGCAAAAAGTATTTCATGAAGACGACTATTTCACATTTTTATCTCCATCGAATCGAGGTATCAACCAATCGGAACTAACAATGAATGTATACGAAAATAAATACGATAATACGATTACATCCTCAAAAATACAAGCGAGGATATAATATACTGATTAGTTATAAGTCGATCAAAAAAAGCAATGTTCCATAAACGTCTATAACAATATTGAATTTTCCTGTATAGTTCCACTTGCGCTATTCAGTTGACGAAGAACTTGTAGACAACCTTATGGTGGTATTCCTTCCCAGGATATAAAACTGCCGGTGGAAAGTCCGTCTGAAAAATAAATTGGAATTGAAATCCATAATTTATATTGATAGTTTTGTGTCAATTGAAAAAATGTAACATTTTGGTTACATTTCCTTGTTGTCGAGATGAGGAAGTGAAGCCAACTTACTGAGCAGGTACAGTGTATGATCCTCATATTATAGAGTTTGAATAATTGAGGTCAGATACACTCTGTATTCGATTAGTTATGATGTTGATATAATTGTCAGAGTTTTTTGATAATTGTTAAATAAAAGTCTTTCAAACCAAGTTGGATTTTTATTAAAGAAAGAACATTTTGACCGCCCGAACACAGAATTCGGACATACAGTATTACGACATCTGCGAAGCCGAGTGCGAAGCAATACAAATCACTGAATGGTTTCCCGTAAGATCTTCTTGTAGTTATTTGGCGCATTCAGTAATCGATCTGAATGAAAAATCTAGTTAGTATGCGAGAGGTATAACATTGTCTGTTCATTGGCCCAAAATTTGTCTGCCTGTCAATGGCACTCATTTGTTCTAATGACAATGAAATTGTTTTGGGTTGAATTTGTCTCCTTTTATTCTTTTTCAAACAGTAATCAAGCAGTTAATCACAGATAATAATAAAAGAGGAGAATATTTCCTTTCAGAATCATCTTTTACCGAATCCTTTAGAATAGCGATTTTATCATTCATCAATTATTTCTCCTAGTTTTGCTCGTTCTCTATTGATTATTTAGTTTGTTATTGTTGTTGTTAGTATGTGTAAGTAGGTACTTCTAGTACTTCATGAAAAGTACATTTATTCGTTCATTTTCTTTAGCTGTTGTACCTCCACCTAGTTTCAGCTTCTAGTATTATTTCGATTGCCCATTTTCAATGATTTTTGTATCTAATTGGCGGCTCGGTGGAAGAGAGCGTGAAGGCGCTGAGTTCGTATGGGGACTCCCACCGAGACATAGGTTCGAATCCTAGTTAGGCCATGGATGTTTGTGTTTATATGCATACCTAACCCCGCACAAGTTTCGACTTATGGGGCGTTTGGTCCCAGTGCTGGAACCAACGAGGTAATGCAATTGCAAAAAAAAATCCTAATGCCTATTTTGAGAGTTTGTGTTTGTGGCACTCCAAACGATGATGTGATTATATCCACACATGCTTTCCCAAACAAACTTATAAAAATAAGAAGGAAAACAAACAGTCTTGCATGCCAAAAGAGTTCAAACAATAACTTTTTTATCACAGCACTGTCGAGTTTCATCCGAGGTTTCCGCAGTTCCTACTCGAATCCAAATATAGCATCATTCGAAGTCATATACAGGGTGTCCGGAAGAAGGGATCAAAGGGTGAAAGCAAAATGTCAAATTTTTCACCCCTGTCAAAAATGCTTTCATTAAACGGGAAAAAATCGAAAGTTCGTCCCATCTTGTATAAAACATAATCACTGAAAAGCCGAGTACGTATGGAAAGGTGCATGAGTATGAGTTTATTCACCTGCCAGAATATCATCGATACCATGGAAACCGTTTTAAAGTTATACATGGAATTCATTTTTTTTAATTCTAACTTTCAAGGTCAATTACTCCGCAACGAATAGCGATAGACATATTTTGTAAATGAAGTACTAACATTATTTTAGCTCACTCAGTCGACCCTATCATTTACGACATGACTTCTCCGCACACCCTGTATAGCATTGCGTTCATTTTCAACCTATTGTGACCCCTAACCTAATATCATTTTCCGGAAGTTGGGGTGGTTCCATGGCTGATGGCGAGCAGTGTATATCACTGAAGATGACCCCACTTGGTCATAGAGTGCATTTTTGGTATATCTCTCACTCCAGCAAATTTCAGTATCCTTACCCAACGATTACGTAAGATACAACGGTGTTTCCATATAGAATATTAGAATATGGCGATTTTCCAATGAACAGACATAATACCTTTTCTCATTTAAATCAACAATGGTTTGGCAAAGCACCATTGAAATGAAATACTAATTTGCCATTTTTGAAAATGGATACCGTCCTTGGACGTCGCCCGATACGAGCTTAACTTGACTTTCAGAGAAACTGGAGCTGGTACTATCTCATCCAAAATTGATATTTCTGTTTATCCGAGGTACTAATCAACTTGATGTGTTGAAAGTATTCGTAAAAAACTGGCGCTCACATGGTTAACTGCATCTGGCCAATTCTGGGTCTCGAAACAGAACGCGCCGTGCTTATAATAAGCCCCATCTTTACCGACCAAGCGTTCCAACTTCGCTGGATCCCCTCGGTATTTCTTGGGATCTTCCGGGATGCTGTTGGAGCAGTAAAACTGGACGCCTGGCTGGTTGCTGTAGACCTCCAGAGCGCGACCGCTGGGGGGATGGACAGCGCTGGCCACGAAGGTCATCTCTTGGTCGGTCGCTTTGTTCACGCAGAAGTTGTGGTCGTAGCCGTCGTAGCCTGGGATCTTGTGGATGACGTCACCGAGGACTTTCGGTGTTCGCAAGTCGAATATTGTTCCTCGAACTGGAAGTATTTTACCTAGGAAAAATAATATAGTGGTTTGGTACCGAAGGTATCACTGGTTTTTCTACTAAAAGCCACGAATATCTTCAAAGTTGAAGGCAATGAAAAAATCCGACGGATTTGTCAACGTTCATACTATTAAGGAAGCATGTCAAGGCCAGGAAGAGGTATACAAATAATTCTGCTGGACAAATACGTATGGCCAGAAAGCGAAGATGCAAGCTGAAGAGTTGAAAACATACTCGTCAATGATGCAATTGCTTCTAGAGGTTCTCTGAGGTCTAACTTCAATGAATTCAGCAGAAAAGATACAGGAACAAACAGATACTGCAAAACAACGATCTATCGACTATTACTTCACACCCAAAAGTCTCAAATAGTCCCAGAAAGGTACTATACTTTGCAGGAAATCTAACATTCTAGATCCATTGGTATTCATGTAAGAGAATATAGATAATAGATAATGAAGCCCAGAATAGAGCATTTTTATCTGATACTTGACGACACTCTTCATTCTAGACAGAGGTTATTTCGTTTTCACAGCTAGTAATTGCTGTTGCGGTACTATATATACAAGGTGTTTTTGAAATAAGTGTACATATTCAGCACAATGTATATGATACAGTCTAAGGAATTTCCCCATTATATCAGATTCTTGCTAATTCTTCTAATTAGCGAGAAATTTCATCCCAAAAATTGAGAAAATTACGAGAAACAAATCACTTTAAAACAATTTAAATGATTGAACTCTGCGTGATTGAGCCTACCGCATTGAAATTTGAACAGAGGTGACGACAGATTTTGTACAGTTTAGAACTTTGGGTGGACAAAGAGGTCTAACCTCAAATTTTATTTTGATCCCTAGTTTTTTTTATTAGTGCCATTCGATAGTACATGTCGAGCTTTCTCAGTGTTTGAAATATTTGCTTATTTCAATGCCACCCTGCGTATATTCCTTGACCCTGTCAGTTTCTTCTGCGTCCTAGCCGAGTCAGCACATGCTTACTTTGACCAGTTTGATCAAGCCAATGTGTTTTTCCTTTAATCTTCTGAAGAACACGGAAGGGAATCCCTATAATGTTCGAGGAACATTGTGCGTACTTATAACAGGTTTGAGTAGAATGACCTCTAGTTGTATAGAATAATTATGACTAACTGTATACAATTTTCATTCCGAGTGAGCTTTGCATTTACCTGAGGGTATAGAGTTTTCGTCAACATCCGTGGTATGATCCGCATTGATAGCAATAACGTGCTTATACAGCTCCTCTGCCCCTTTGTTGTGCCCAGCCAAATTGAAGTAGGAATGATTCGTCAAATTGACAAACGTAGGCTTCGTCGTGGTAGCCTTGAAATCCACCAGGAACTCGTTGCTATTGGACAACTCGAACGAAACGTTGACCAACACGTCTCCGGGATATCCTTCTTCCAAGTCGACACTCAAGTAACTGAGGACCACTTTGGTATCTTTGACGTAGTAGTTCCAGTTGACTTTGTCGAACCCTTTCAAACCCCCGTGGAGCTGGTGCTGGCCTAGATTGGCGGTTACATTGTAGGTGATATCGTCGATTGTTATTCTAGCGTAGCCTACTCGGTTTGCTACTCGGCCCACTGTGGCGCCAAAGTATGGGTTCAGGCGGTTCAGGTATCCTGAAAAAAAAAATGAGCATTTGAATTCTTCTTGGAATACAGCTACTTCAAGATGAGAAGTGATAATTCTTGATGAAAATTCGTCATTTGCTCTATTAGTTATCCCAGGTTACCAGATAACGAAGCATGACGTCACTGTGAAAGGTGTATGTTCTTTTTGCCCCATCAACTTGATATTATAATTCATTGATATTTCGATATTTAGTAGCGCTTCCTTAATGACCCCTATTCGTATTATTTCTCCAATTTTATCATTGATTCACAATGCTTGTTTGTGGGTAATTTTCGGTTATTGCCCCTCAAACTTCCCTTCAAGGTCTTGGAATCATCTCTCAAAAATGCGCTCTCAAAAATGAAATGAAATGAAAATCCGTTTATCCCTTCAATATTTTGAAAATGAGATAATATGAGGATGGGCATTGCCTGCAATGATTAGAATAATTTTCACCTCCATATAAACAAAATCACATCATTGACATCATTGGGTTGTCACTTATCACGTTCATATGACGGCAACTTGATCATCTGACTGAAGTAAGAAGGTCGATGGAACGTCTTAATGAGGTCAAGATCAATAATTATGTCAATAAACATCACATCACAAAAAACCGCTAATATGATGTGTACTTTAGAATCCAGAAGTGGAACGTTTCATCACTGAACTCTGGAACATAATAGGCACCGGAAGCCAGAATATAGTGATTCACACGAGACCAACTCGTCTCGCCGATGAAATATGAAGTCTTGTCTCGAGTCTCGTCTTGTCTCGCGTCTCGTACGAGAGTCTCGCAAAGGTATCGCAATTTCGTCAGGCATAATCTTGTTCCAGTCTAGTACGGAATATTTACTTTTACCTACTTTCCAGGTATAATGTAGAAGTTGAAAGAGGATATTACAACAAAAATAATATTTTGGGTGTATGATAAATTGACATTCATCATACAGGGCGTGGAAATGAATTCTGAATTGAGACTCTATCACGAATCTGCGATTAGAGGTCTATAAAAATCACAAGTTTCCATCGTTCAAGTTTGAACCCCCTGATTGGGTATGAAAGTGTTGAAAAGGAATATTCTCAGATAAATTATGAACATACAAAAATGGATATATATTTATATAAAGCAATACATTGAGAATTCGCATTCTCTATGTGATGAGAATATTTACTCTTTTTCAGTTAATTCAATAGAAAACAACTACTTTCCTGGCTATATGCCACGACGAACATTGAATTATATCTATTGAACACACACGATAAGAGTTTGAAAATAAAATATAAAAATTTCTGAAATTGAGAATTTGCATTCTCCTTCAGACAAAAATATGTATATACACACATCATTCTGAATATTCAACAGAAAACAACTACTTTCCTGGCTATATATAAATATATATCCATTTTTGTATGTTCATAATTTATCTGAGAATATTCCTTTTCAACACTTTCATACCCAATCAGGGGGTTCAAACTTGAACGATGGAAACTTGTGATTTTTATAGACCTCTAATCGCAGATTCGTGATAGAGTCTCAATTCAGAATTCATTTCCACGCCCTGTATGATGAATGTCAATTTATCATACACCCAAAAGCAAAAACGTCCAAATGACAGGAATAGAATGTCAACAAATTTCTCAGATGTCATTTCGTTATAGTTTTACTCGATTTTAGTTGTATTATATAGAGATGAAAATTGTGTATATCATGAAGAATGGCTGTAAGAATAAGTGGACATCATGGTTACTGATGAGGATTCAGAGATCCGAAATGGGTTCATTGCAATAAAGTCATATAACCTGTGTGTGAGAGATAATATTTCCCATATCACTGATATGAATGATTATTTTTGGACGTTTTCAAGCTCATCAAGATCAGAGTTCATGCCAGTATACTTCTCCTATACATTCCAATTTTCATTTCAATGCTGAATATATTGGTAAGTCATATTTCTAGATCATTATTCATCATATTATTCATCCGATTTGAAGAAGAATGTCAATTCTCAATTTCGGAGGATTTTATTCTTTATTTTTCATGTTCCCCTTTTGAATGTTCATCAGATATAATTCAATGTTCGACGTGGCAAATAGCCAGGAAAGTAGTTGTTTTCTGTTGAATATTCAGAATGATGTGTGTATATAAATATTTTTGTCTGAAGGAGAATGCAAATTCTCAATTTCAGAAATTTTTATATTTTATTTTCAAACTCTTATCGTGTGTGTTCAATAGATATAATTCAATGTTCGTCGTGGCATATAGCCAGGAAAGTAGTTGTTTTCTATTGAATTAACTGAAAAAGAGTAAATATTCTCATCACATAGAGAATGCGAATTCTCAATGTATTGCTTTATATAAATATATATCCATTTTTGTATGTTCATAATTTATCTGAGAATATTCCTTTTCAACACTTTCATACCCAATCAGGGGGTTCAAACTTGAACGATGGAAACTTGTGATTTTTATAGACCTCTAATCGCAGATTCGTGATAGAGTCTCAATTCAGAATTCATTTCCACGCCCTGTATGATGAATGTCAATTTATCATACACCCAAAAGCAAAAACGTCCAAATGACAGGAATAGAATGTCAACAAATTTCTCAGATGTCATTTCGTTATAGTTTTACTCGATTTTAGTTGTATTATATAGAGATGAAAATTGTGTATATCATGAAGAATGGCTGTAAGAATAAGTGGACATCATGGTTACTGATGAGGATTCAGAGATCCGAAATGGGTTCATTGCAATAAAGTCATATAACCTGTGTGTGAGAGATAATATTTCCCATATCACTGATATGAATGATTATTTTTGGACGTTTTCAAGCTCATCAAGATCAGAGTTCATGCCAGTATACTTCTCCTATACATTCCAATTTTCATTTCAATGCTGAATATATTGGTAAGTCATATTTCTAGATCATTATTCATCATATTATTCATCCGATTTGAAGAAGAATGTCAATTCTCAATTTCGGAGGATTTTATTCTTTATTTTTCATGTTCCCCTTTTGAATGTTCATCAGATATAATTCAATGTTCGACGTGGCAAATAGCCAGGAAAGTAGTTGTTTTCTGTTGAATATTCAGAATGATGTGTGTATATAAATATTTTTGTCTGAAGGAGAATGCAAATTCTCAATTTCAGAAATTTTTATATTTTATTTTCAAACTCTTATCGTGTGTGTTCAATAGATATAATTCAATGTTCGTCGTGGCATATAGCCAGGAAAGTAGTTGTTTTTTATTGAATTAACTGAAAAAGAGTAAATATTCTCATCACATAGAGAATGCGAATTCTCAATGTATTGCTTTATATAAATATATATCCATTTTTGTATGTTCATAATTTATCTGAGAATATTCCTTTTCAAAAATAATATTATTTATTGAAAAGTAAGTACCTAATTGGTACATATATAGGTACTAAAAGGCGATAGGCGATGCAACCATGGCGTCGGCGGCCCGTCAAAACAAAGTTATTCTTTATCTTAGACTATTCAGCATATAGAATGACTTATTTATAGATTTTCAGGTAGTCATTCAATTTGCGATCTGTCGTTATTGCAGAATTGCCTTTATATTCCGCAGCCGTAAGAGAGAAAATAGTCTGTCTTCGTTTCAGGCATTACATCGTTTTACAACAATCATGGATTGCGTTTTCAAAGTATTCATGAATGAAATGTTTTGTCTATCTGTGCTAAATAGTCTGAATTCTTTCTAAATATGTTGTATTATGAATGAAATTCTCAAGTCTGCAGTCGGCACGCAGAAATATTTAACTGCGAGACTCTTGCACGAGACACGAGAAGTCTTGCACGAGACTCGAGACGAGACCAATAAAAGTCTCGTCTCGTCTTGTCAGAGTCTCGTCTCGAGTCTTGTCTCGAAAACGAGACGAGACCATGCGAGACTCTCGAAAACGAGACTCTCGCGGGCACCACCACCAGAATATACCTCATCTTTAGAAGAAGTATCGGTAATTCACACTCAGAAGAAGAGGATCAGCAGAAATGATCATCAGAAGAATAAATGTCCATATCTTTACGGCTGATCACTGCAAATACCTTTCAGATTGCTATACTGTGTTCACTGAACTGATGAAGATATCTTCCAGATGGTTTTACTACGCTTATTATTGCTGTTTTATTTTCCATAAATGTTTATCAATGAGGCATTGATTGAATTGTGACTATGCGCTTATATCAAGAAACAGGTCGATTAATTACCTATATGGTATGCATAACGTGAAAATGAAATGTCAATGTACTTCAGAATAAATAAATAATGAACATAATGAAACTGTTATACCTATACTGGATATCCGCGGATACAAACAAAAAACAAACCGTGTGGAATTATTTGGCTACAGTAGTGCATTAGCTACTAATTTTTTCAGAGGTGCTTACCTTCCATGTCTTTGAATCCCATCACGATATCATCTATCTCTCCATTTTTTCCAGGCAATTTGATAGAAGTGATAGTGGCTCCATATGTGATTACCTGGACACAAACACCATTAGAATTCCTCCATGTAAACCTTCTTACTGAACTAGTTTCACCAGTCGTTTTATCAGTGAAAAGACCGAAGTGGTCCTCTTCGAATTCCACATCGTTTTTCTGGAAATATCTGGCACTTGTCGACATTCTGGCCGGGTTCGGTTTCGAACTGGCTCAACGGGTCGTATTTGTAAGGTCTCAGTTTATTTCAAAAACCGCAAGTTTTCTTTGATAAGAGCGTGTTATTTTCACGTTCAGTTACCTCTAGCAGTCTAGCGTCCGTGAGGTACTTATTTTATTATAGTTATTTGTGTTTACATTCATTCGACGTTTTGTTTACAGTCTATTCAACAGCAGATACGGGCGATTACTGCGACCTTGGGACAAGTCAGACCTCAGAGATGATATCGTAGCATTATAATTTATGAGAATATGGGTAGGAGTGAAGCAAAATACCTATTGTACCCACTTTGTGCCATATTATCATTGTGCCTCTACAAAATAGGAACAAGATTTGATTCACAGAATGATGACGTGAAAATGGATGACAGGTGACAACCTGATGATAATTAGTGACATGAAACAATCATCAGAATTGAAAAAACTTTTATTAGAAAATCAGTTGAAACAATTCAAATATACCACAAATTTTTCATTCATCAAGTATTATTTCATTGTCGTTCTAGATAACAACCTATAGTTAGGTAGTTAGTAGGCAAACCTCCTCGCACTAGGTCACCTACTAGGTTTTCATTCAGATCGACAATGATTATTTCGACAGGCATACGAAATTCATATTTAATAAAAATATATACAGTGTGACCCAATTCTAATGGAAACACCCCTGTATCATACGTAATCGTTGGGTAAGGATCCTGAAATTAACTGGAGCGAGAGATATACCAAAAATGCACTCACTCTATGACCAAGTAGGGTCATCTTCAGTGATATACACTGCTCTCCAACAGCCATGGAACCACCTCAATTTCCGGTAAATGATATTAGAAGTCAAAATTGGTCGAAAATCACTTCGTATTCGGAATCAGGACGCCCAATCAACTAACTATTCATATTTTTCCCGGAAAATTTTCAGTTCTGAAAAATTAAATTTTGTCGCACTTTTTATGAAAGCACCGCCGTATCTTACGTAATTGACTTTATCTTTGGACTATCCTCCCCTCCTGCAAGTTTCAGAACCCTATCTCAATAATTACGTGAGATACGGGGGTGCTTCCATGAGAAGTGAGACAAAATTGAATTTTTCTGAACTAAAAATTCTCTAGAAAAACGATGAATAGTTGGTGAATTGGGTGTCCTGATTCCGGATCCGAAGTGATTTTTTACCTATTTTGACTTCTAATATCATTTTCCGGAAATTGTGGGTGGTTCCATGGCTGTTGGCGAGCAGTGTATATCACTGAAGATGACCCCACTTGGTCATAGCGTGCATTTTCATTATATCTCTCTCTCCAGCAAATTTCAGGATCCTTACCCAACGATTACGTGAGAAACATTGGCGTTTCCATTAGAAGTGGGTCACACTGTACATAGGTACAGGTTGTTCAGGATTACATGGACTTCCTGAAATACATATACCTATGTAAGTGTGAATACATATAGCATATTTGGATTTCAATAATCAACCCGACTTCCATTCTGGAAAAGAACATCGAAAGTTTTGAAGATTATTATGTCAAGAAACAGTAACATTCATCTTCACATTCCATAATTATACAGTGTGTTTCCGAAAATGGTGCGATGAATAAAATGGGGTGTTCTTTGAGACATAATGACACGATAGATCACGCAAGAAGGAATTGTTTTAAATTTTTTTCTAAAAATGTGCGCTCCCATCATACTACATTTTACAACTATTATTGAATGTCCGGCAACATCGCAAAAGTAATTGATACTTTCGGTGCTTGTGATCTCGCTGAAAGCAAATGCTTGGTTTGGTCTATTTACCTCTGATCAATGATTCACAAAAGGTTCAGGCAAACTTAATATCTTCCAAAATATTTATTCGTTTCGCCTCTATAATACTTTTCTCAAACACAAGGTATACTTAGTATAAATACAACTTTTTGATGATGGTTCTTCATTTTCAGGCTCCCTCTGATAAAAACATTTGTTAAACGCATTGACATTTTGGGGCAAATCATCTGATTTGTCCTACTACACATACCGGGTGGCTACGGAAGTATTGCCTACGGAATATCTCAGTTATTGTATGAAGGAGGTTTGTGAAATTTGAAGCGTCGATATAATGACATTAGAGCTAGAATTTGAGCATATTGACATGTCGAAGTAAACTTCCGGTCTGACCGGAAGTAACATCAACTCTCTTATTTTGAATGGAAATCCTATTTTTTTCTTTTCGCTTTATTCAGCATTCAATTCCCTTTCTAATGACATATCACAAGTTGATATCTAACCAGAAACTATGGACCTACAGAGTATTGTTTTTTCCCAATTTTTCCAATATTCTTTTTTGGCGGCTTTTTATAACGCCGACGAATGAAAATAAAATATCACAGTGGTAGCATCTGTTATCAAGTGACGTATGGTTTCCATAGCCAACTTTTCAATTTTTGGCTCTCATTTTGCTTCCACGAGTCGGTGAATTTCAATAATAATTTTTTCCTGATCTAGTTTCTGGTTAGATACCAACTTGTGATATGTCATTAGAAAGGGAATTGAATGCTGAATGAAGCGAAAAGAAAAAAATCAGGGTTTCCATTTAAAATAAGAAAGTTGATGTTACTTCCGGTCATACCAGAAGTTAACTTCGACATGAAAATATGCTCAAATTCTAGCTATTATGTCATTATATCGACTCTTCAAATTTCACAAACCTACTTCATGCAATAACTGAGATATTCCGTAGGCAATACTTGCGTAGCCACCCGGTATATTGAAATAATATTCATATTTTTATTTTGTAGAAAAGAGGAGAGAAAATCCCAAATAATCAAGTGAAATGAATGAACACCTCCTCGATTACAGAATTACAGACAGTAATCAGATGATATGGTTGAAAATGAATTGATGTTCCGGATGTTACTGAAATTTTAGTAATAAACCTTAGTTGCTAACAAGTAAAATCAACTTCTATATAGTGAAAATGAAATGCGTCATATTCAACTAAACTGAAATATGTTTTTGCAAGTTTTATTCGAATATTAAACTAAGACATTGATGGATGTTAGATACAATAAAATTGTTTTTTTTTACATTTCAGTAATGAAAACGAGTTATACCTGAGTGTCAAATTTTATTCGACATCTACACAGAATAGGTAGTAGGGTTCATCTTCTCATCATATCAAAAGCAACTCCAATTTATGAAATATCCTTACCGAATCTCCCACGCAGCAAAATTAATTCCCGATAATATTTTTCTCGGTATGATCCTGGTGCTAGGGAGATTATAAGTGAAAATACTCAAAATTCCGCAAATTTGGCGTCCTGCAAGTGATCTCGACAGGACCTCAAATGCAGGACGTGGCTGCTCGGATTGGTGGCAACCCTAATGAGACTTCATTCCTCATCTCAATTTTTCCAATTTGAAGGTTATGGTATGAAGTTCATATCTGCACTATAATGATGTTCCGTCTGCATTTCAACTCCCAAATGGAATTTCTACAATTTACATATAACGTTTTCCGATCGGATCGAGACTGACAGTCCTAGATCTTTGATGAATAACTATCGAGATATGTTGATAGAACAAGCCTGATACATTCTCCATGTGAGCTCGACTTCTGTCTGATTGATGGCAATGCTGGGAATTTCTTACTAGATTGATGGGCTTACCTGAGCAGGGATATGATCTTGTGTGGTAAATGGAGCGGGTAACGCGATAAAAATAAGAGGTTTCATTCTTTCAAATGGAAAAGATCTAGATTATAATAAGAATAATTGAAATGTCTTTCTAAGTAGGAAGTTTATACATATAAAACAACTAGGTGTATATATATATATATTTTTTACTTGATGGAAATCCATGGAATCCATGAAAAACTTCACAAACGATAAGATTTCCACAAAATTCTCAAAAATCGTCCATTTTGATACCAAAATCAGCTTTTGAATTGACGTTTCTATTACTGACACAAACATAGGTATGTTGCTAGGCAACACATTTAGTTCCTAGGAGCTGAAGTTGAATTTTAGTTCCTAGGAGCTAGAGATGAACTTTAGCTCCTAGGAACTAAAAAGAATGTACTAGACTCGGCTTCGCTAAACGCTCCGCCTCGCAAACACAACAAATTTTAGATCCTAATAAAACAATCTACTATTTTCAACCTCCTGATTATTTTTGAATATGGATAAGATTAAAAGCATTGTACGGGTGAGTCAGAAGTAGTTCAAGAAACTTATATTACTGTTGTTTTAATAGTTTGATGGTTCTGACAAATTTGAGATTGCTTACGACTATGAACCTCGAGTTTGTCGATTTACTTCTGACAAACCCACACAATGTTTAAATTTTTTTGACATTGAAAAATATTTCGGAGTTTGGGAAGTAATATTGATATCTCGTATAATATCAGCATTATGCAATTATAGTACGCAGCAAATTAGACAACTACTCAATATTACCTCTAGATCTCTGCCTCTAGGTTTTTCGCAAATCAAATATCTCCGGAACATCTATATTTAGGCATGCAGAATGTTTTTATCTTTAAGTTGAGTATTCATAATCCTTACTGATGTTATTCACTGATTTGATAATTCATCCTTCTGAGGAAAATTTTGAAGGAACATGTGACGACATACGACCCTTACTACGCCATTGGTTGACAAAATTCAAGAATAAAAACTCCCTGTGATTACTCTGATTATTCTGGATTATTATACCAAGTTTCACTTTTTTTGCTACAGGGGTTCTGGAAAAATTTAGAGAAATCTCAACTTTTTTCATACTTTCGACACCCTGTATCATAGTGAGGATGCATTTTAGGACATACGTCAGTACGTGTACGAAGTTTGTCGGTCTTATTCTGACTCACCCTGTACACCTACTTGTAGTGAGGACGTACCAGATGGTTTGACTCGAAATGTCACTGCATTTGAAAATGTTTCTATCAGAAAGCCTAAAAGAAGAATGCATTCGCTTGTCAGTGACAATTTGTACTGAAGAAGGTTTGGAGAAGAGGTATAGATATATAGAAAAAAATATCAGATTTTCACTTATCTTTGTACGTTTCGGGAACGAATCTTCTCCCGTTGTCAACATAACATTTTTTCTCGCCAAATTGGTTTCACCTACGACCTCTTTCAGTAAGGATGAATCAACAAAAGTACGATATAAAGAAAGGACATATATTATCAACAAATCGAAACTAGCTGAACATATCCTTACTGAAGAT